GAAAATATAATCAAATAAGAAATAAGAAAAAATATCCAAATCCTTACTATTTGTGCTTTCAGAAGATAGGGTTTTATATATGTGGTAAATTCTGAGTTCTCTACTTTTGAAGGGAACATTCTGATCCACATTATCTGAAGATTATTTTAATGTAACAATAATAGATTTGGACACTCCACTATCCACTCTGGCCTAGACGTCCTTGCAACATATTTTTCTCAATTTTTAATCTGTAATTTAGGGAGGTATCAGATCAAAGTACTTTGTACATCAATAGAACAAAATATAGCCCATCATCTTATCAAGAATAGACTAGAAACCTTGGCCTCATTAGCACCCAGTTCTCACCACAAAACAAACATAGAAAGCAGGGATTTCCAAAGTATCATCACTATTACTTAACAAATGCCTTCTAATAAACCAAAAGTTTTTTTCTTAAAGTATTTATTTTTATAAAATGCCAGTATCTATGTAGAAAACAAATATTTCGGATTCTACTAATTTGGAATTTGTAAGCATTCAAATCTTGTTCTTAAATTCACCTTTTTACCATCTACAAATACAGCAAATTAAGAAGTAAACAAGGTAGGTGTATAAATATATAAGGTTTAATCGACTATGAAAGAATTACTTCATATGTAGTCACAAGAAACTTAGGTGATAAAAATAGATTATTTTAATCCCTGATAGCAAGTACACACAGATTACATGTAGCAAATGAGATAATGTACATAAATTCATAGGCTATAAACTATAAAAACCTCTATACGGTCTGACAATCCCTGATATTTAACCTGTACTCACTGAACTCTGTTTTCTAGTGGAACTGAAAAAAGTTATCTGAATAAGAAATTCACTAGTCATTGTGAGCCTTTGGGACAGTCACTTTTGTCTGTTTTTTTGTTTGTTTGTTTTTAGTTTTTTGTTTTTTGTAAAATGAGATCATTTGACTAGGTGAGCTTAAAATTCTTTCATACTCTAATATTCTTTTAGTCGAGTCTTATTTATGAAGAGCCTACAATTTTAATGAGAATAAAAGCCATGCAGAAATTTTAAAATTTTTGTTAATATTGTACCAAGTACCTAAATTATAGAAAAGTCAATGAATAATATAGGAACTTGATAGATGACTATGGTGTGGAGTAAAGGATAGATGAAGGATAGATGACTGTGGTGTGGAGTAAAGATAATTCAAAAAGACTGCAGTTTGCAATGACATGGATGGACCTAGAGGTTATTATGCTGAGTGAAATAAGTCAGATAGAGAAAGATAAATACCGTATGATTTCACTTATATGCAGAATCTAAGGAAAGAAAAGAACAAACTAATTGAAAACTGACTCATAAATATAGAGGACAATCTGGTGATGGCTAGAGGGGAGAGGAGTAGAAGGGCTGAGAGAAAGTGTGAAGGGTTAAAGAAGTACAAATTAGTAATTTGAGATGGTCATGGGAATGGGGAGCACAGCATAGGGAATGCAGTCAGCAGTAATGTAATGGCTATGGGTAGAGGAAAGAGAATAATCAGGGAGATCATTTCTAAAATATACTGTATACTTGAAACTAATAATAAAGTTAAATTAAAAAAAGATTCTTGAAGACAGGATAATATTTGTATGGAGGGGGTAAGTATTATGAACAGGAGATAAATATGGCAATGTGCTTAGAGGTAGAATTATAGACTATGTACCCTTGCACAGTAAGGAACTTGCACACATAAAGAGAAAGATTTAAATTGGGAAACTGAAGGAGGGAAAATTAAAAAGATAAAAATAACCCTAACAATAGAGTTTTAGTATGAGACTAAGAAATATTTAAATGGTAATGAACAGTGTCTGAGACTCTTGAGCCAGGGAATGTAGAAGAAAGAAGCATTTCAAAAATAAGGATTTAGTATTTGATAGACAGTCATGGGGATGGGGAGCACAGCATAGAGAATTCAGCTAGCATTATATGTTGGCTAGGTAGAGAACCAGAGGAGAGAAAGAGCAATTAGGGGACCGTTTTATAAACTATATAAATGTGTAACCAATGTACTATATACTTTAAACTAATAAAATTTTTAAAAAATGATTAAGGAATTGGTATGCAAAGTGACCTGGAGAGGAAAGCGGAGCTAGAATATGAGTTGTGGAGCCATTTTCTTAATAAAAGTAATGATGATAACATTACTGGTGAGAATGAAAAAAAAGAGAGAGAGATGAGAGAAGTTCTGAAATAATCAAAATAACTTGAAAACGAACCAAATACTATGATAAGTAATGAGAAAATCAGAAGAGAAAGCTAGTATTTTTATGTGTAAGAGGAAAATAAGTTTGAGTTTTGAAATTTTAATTTTAAGGAACGTGTAGAAATACCCTGAAGGCAGTTAGATACATTTGAGAACAGTGGAGGCTTGAAGGCAGATAAAGAACAAAGGCCCAAGAATGACACACGGAAAATGCCCACTTTTAGGAGGTGAAGAGATAAGCCTAAAGAAGAGATGATGAATGACCACACAGGGAGACAGAAAAAAAATCAACATAGAATATATTATGAAAATGTTATACAGGTGAGAAAACTAGATGAAATCTAAAAGAATTAAACATAGTATGTTGCATTTACAACCCACAGCTGAATGGCAAATGAAATTTAATAAAAGCACAAAGAGAAAAGAACTAGAAACTTAGTTGATTGTAAATGTAAAGATTTGATATCGTAATATAATTTCAGAGAAAAATCTATGGTGATTAGTGTATCCAGATAAAAGATGGGCAGTCTGAACTTATCTCTGTTGGTTGAATCTTTCTTGGAAATACGTCTTTAACTCTAAGAAGGACACTATAACTCTGTACATCAGTCCACATTTTGAATAGTTCCTGGTACAGTGTTGGTGCTCATTAAATAGCCTGGAAGAAATTTGGCAAGACAGGGAGGGAGGAAAAGAGGAAGAAAGAATGAGAGGAAAAGAGGGAGAGAAAGAGAGGAGAGAGAGAAATGAAGGAGGGAACATAAAAGAGAGTGACTAGGCTAATAACAGAACTTAAGTTAAAACAATGTGAGAAAAGAGCAGATCTTAAAAGTTCTCATCACAACATAAAAAGAAATTATAACCACAATTATAACAAATGTTAATCAATCTTACTGTGGTGATCATTTTGCAATATATACATATATAAAATCACTTTGTTGTGCACCTAAAACTAATACAATATTATGTCCATTATGTCTCAATTTTTTAAAGATTCAGAGAAAACTGAATATTTTAAATATGAGCGAAATAATCATTCCAGAGAAATAGACCTGAAAACACAAAAAAACTGTCACATAAAAAAGGTATTGCATTTGTTTTGTGGTGTTCAATGGAATGGCAAAAGGAGGACAAGTTCCAAGGGTCTAATATTATACAATATATGAAAAGGATTTCATATTAAAGTTATCCGAAAATTAAATGGGTCTATTTAAGCCTAGAATTCCAATATAGGAGAGAGATTAAAAAAAAAACAAAAAACAAAAAACAGGCATCCTCACATATTAATAGTTGGAGTATAAATTGGCATATCTTTGTAGAGTGATTTGATCATTGTTATCAAATATAAAATTGCATATCCTTTCTGATGCAGCAGTTTCATTTCTACGAAAATATTCCAACATGTACATAAAAAGGTATATAGGAGGATATTCAATGCAGAGTTGTACCAAGTAGCAGAATAAAAAAGAAAAAAAAAACAAATTATTGAAGAAAGTACATTCATAACAGCAAAAGTACAGAGCAATTAAAAAGAGTAAGGTTTATCTGGATGTCCTGATGTGAAAAATTGTCCAAAGATTGGTTCTTGTTGGTTTAAAAACAACAGTGATAAAAAATTTTCTCTCTTCTACTGTTTGAAATTTTCTTTCAATAATGTGAGAACGTTATTTTTAATATTTAAAAGAGAAAATAAATGAAGTTGCCAATTGTAAAAGTTTCAACAAAAGGTTAGAAAATTACTTGCTAAAAGGTCTGTAGCAAGCGTTTTTTATATCAGATTAATATTTGACCAACTGGCCTTTAGGATCTCTCCTAATTCTAAAATTTTATGATTTTAATGTCATGTAAACAAAGAAGCACTCACCATGATTTAATGCAGAAGAGGGGTCAAAGATAATATGAAATAGGCATAAGGTTTAGTCACTGAGACACAGAAAAGCAGTGAAGATGAAAGGCAGATCAAGTATGATTTTAAAGGTGTGGCTGATAAAACAACAACAACAACAACAATAACAACAAAGGCTGAATAAGCCATTCCTTCCAGAGGAGTAACAATGAGAAGGGTAAGAGAAAAAATATGGTAGTTTCATGGTTCGAACTAAGATATAGAAAAACATGCATGTCTGGAGGAAAAGAAAACACCTAAAAGAAAACCTGTAGTTATTAAGACATAAGTGATCACTATTTAACATAGCTCAATACTCATGAATATATTTGATATTTTGGTCAAAAAGAATTCTAAAGCCCAGTTTTTACCCATTCAGACATACTATTCTTTCAGTATATATTTTTATGTTAATTACTGTATGTTTTCTCTAGTACAGAGGCTCATCTTAAAATGGAACTTGGTTCAATCTCTCACTCAGTAAAGTGATAAACAAGCAGCCACTCAACCATTTCCAAAAATAACTTCATTTAAAAGTTATTTTTATCCGTATATAAAGCTCCACAAACATATTCATCAAAATAGCACTATTCTTGTTACCTAATGGAAGATCCTGGAGTTTTAATTTGTTATTTTTTGGTGTTAAATAGTAATAATCTTTCACACTACTAAAGAGATCTGCAGACTCAGAAAACATGCAACAGTCACTTAAACCATCATTGATATTTAATTCTAACTAGTATAAAAGTTAATTCATGTCCAAGCATAACAAACATAAGCCTTTATCATTTAGATTTATCTCAGTTTACTCAGTCAATATTTTGAAACTACACAATCTTGTCAAAGTACAAAAATAAAGAGTTCTATTTGAAAGATATACTCAACTATATCTTCATCATCAGGTATCTGTGTGGGCATACACATTGGCTTTTCTGCCATGCCAGACTGAAAGAGCTGAAAACAAAGAATAAAACTCTTTTAAAAATTATTTTAAAAACCTATATTCCTACAATATAATTTAGATCAATAAGAGAGTCTAATATAGACATTGTCCCAGGTTTTGGCTTTCAGTCAACACTATTATTGATCTGTTTTAAATCATGGCAGTTTTGTTAGAACAGGCTTCTTTGTAATATATAATACTAAACATAATGTAGAAAATTACATTTAACAATAAACATGCCAAAAGCATCTAAAGAAAGGTAAATTCCCTTTTGAAATCAAGAAGACAAAGAACCTTCTTCTTTAAGGGACTCTCTGAGCATGAGAAGGGAAATGGGGAATTTTGCTTTAAAAAGTGCTTAAAAAAAAAACAGGAAGACACTTATAAGTACTTACCTTTCCAGAGTAAATTACCAGGGGAGACTAGGGTATTAGAGTGTACTTACTGAAAGAGAATTAGGAAAGCAGAGCTTATAAAATCTAAACAAATTTGTTAGACACTATACTAATGATAGTTGTCATTTATCAAGTACTTATTATGCACCTAGCATTGTGCTAAGTGCCTGAGTGCTTTATCTCCTTTAGTCCTCTGGTAAATAAAGACACATTTTTTTCATTGATGTGCAAGGTGAGAAAATTCAGATTCAGAAAAATTAAGTAACTTACCTGCCTGAGATTTCAGCTATGCAGGAGACACAGGTCTAAACTGACTCCAAAACTGGTGTTCTATTTGTGGACCAAATAGTCACTGTGTTTGCAACTGTTTGGTACAAGGGAGGAGAGATACAAGAGAGCATGTTGTGCTGATTTATAAGCAGAACTGACTTAGAAGGACATGCTACCCTACTTTTGAGTACAGCACAAAAATACTCAGAAAATGAGGCATGTTTTAAGAGAAAATATTATAGATGGGTATAACAGAGAAAAGCAAATAAATTAAAGAATTGCTCTGCATGCTATGGTTTCTCTATTTGCTATATCCTGAGGATTATTCCACTTTAGTATACAGATTAATCTCACTTTTCTCTAATGGTATTCTCTAATACAGATCATGCTCTGTTCTATGGTATGGTTTACTCTAGTCTAGTGTACATAAAGTTGCTATATTATTTAGAACATTAACAGTGAGTATCTCAGTGATTTCCAGTCTTAAAATGCAATCAACAATTTACTACAATAAACATTTAAACCACTGAAAAAGGATTGCTTCTTGACTTCTTATATTTATCTTCTCTCAGAATGGAAAGTTACTATAACTTCAAGAGTCTCAAGTTTCAGTTATGCAGATTAAAAAGTTCTAGAGATCTAACATACAACATGGTGACTATAGTTAATAACACTATATTGTATACTTGAAATTTTCTAAGAGTAGATCTCAACTGTTCTTACCCCACCAACACACACACACAAAATGGTAACTATGTGAAGTGATGGATATGTGAATTAGTTTGATGTGGTAATCATTTCACAATGTATATGCATATCAAAACATTACATTGTCTACCCTAAACATGTATAATTTTTATTTTTCAATTATATCTCAATAAAGCTGGAGAAATTTTTAAAAAGAGTATCTCTGTATAAATGCTGACTTTTTGGCAAGTCTACAGAAGATGGTTTGAAAATTAGTGCTACAAGTTATCTAGTATTTAAAAACCTAATTAATGGTGCTTTAAACGAATAGAAGTTTGCTTCTTTCATAATTCTAGAGCAAAAGCTCTCAGAGTATAGTCCCTGGGTCCATGGGGGTCCCTGAGACTCTTTCAGGGAGTCCATAAAGTCAAATTTTTTCTAATAATACTAAGGTAATTTGCTTTTCTCATTGTGTTGACATTTGCACTGATAGTTCAAAAGCAATGGTGGATAAAACAGCTTCTACTTTATTCAAGGCAGTTGTACCAAATGTATTATTAGTCATTGTGTTAGTCATTTCTTACATTCACAGCAAAAAGTAAAAGGTGAATATCCACAAAACATTTATACTATATACAAGTGTGATGGCTGTCTTGAGTAAAACAAGTTATGTGATTGTGAGAAATTATAACTTCTTTTTTCACAGAACACCAACTTTTTAATTAAATTTATGGGGATGAAGTTGGTTAATAATAGTAAATAGATTTCAAGTGTACAATTCAATAATACATCACATGTATATTGCATTGTGTGTTTACCACCCAAAGTTAAATTTACTTCCAACACCATGTGTTTGACCTCCTTTACCCTTATCTACTTCCCCTGCTCCCTTCTTTCCCTCTGGTAACCACTAAACTGTTGTGTCTATGAGTCTCTTGTCTGTTTGTCTTGTTCATTTGTCGCTTTCAGTTTTATATCCCACATATGAATGAAATCATATGGTTCTCAACTTTTTCTGACTTATCTCACTTATCATGATAATCTCAAGATCCATCCATGTTGTCACAATTGGCAGTATTTCATCTTTTCTAATGGCTGAGTAATATCCCATTGTATATATGTACCATATCTTCTTTATCCAATCATCTATCGAAGGGCATTTGGGGGTTTTTTTTTCCATGTCTTGGCCACTGTGAATAATGCTGCAATGAACCCTATTTTGATTGCAAAAACACTGACACACTAGTTTTTCAGGCTTGGTTATTTCTAAGACAGTATGCTTTGTAACACGAAAAAAACTGAAAATATATGTTGTTAATGGTAATATTTGAGCTTGAAAGTTTGTAGAGAACTTGTATCCATCATTATGATCTTAACAGCTTCCTAATACTGACAAACTCTCCCCCACAAGATTGGTAGTGCTATTAACAAATGAATTTTTGATATTGTATAATGAAATATGGCAGCATTAAACAGACTTGAGTTTCCCAACCTCAACATTATTAACATCTAGAGCTGTGTGATTCTTTGTTTTGGAGGGCCATTCTCTGTGTAATAAGATGTTTAACAGCATCTCTGGCCTCTACATAGTAGATGTCAGTAGCAACTCCCCAGTGCGACAACTAAACCTGTTTCTGGATATTGCCAAATATTTCCTGGAGGGTAAAATCACCCCCAGGTAAGAATCAGTGTTAGATAACTCAGTAAACAGATATTTTCCAAATGACCAATGTGTCACATTATAAAATCATTCATGAGCTCAAAATTCATTTGTGGAGTGAGCTAGACCCACAGATTTTAATATTATAAAACAAAAAATATGTAAATATGGTTTCAGAGTCTATGTTGCAACAAATCTTGTTAAGTTTTGATGGAGTTTTAAAGAATATTCACAATTATGTGGGAACAGATTTGTTTTTCCAAATGTATATCCATATGAAGCCGGATTTTCTTCAGAAACATCAACCAAAACATTTTTCAAGAGATTGAAAACAGAGGCAGATATAAGTATCCAGCTGTCCTTTTTCTTTTTACTTTTTTATTCTGTTAAAATGTACATAAAATTTACCATTAGGCTCAGTGACATTCATTACATTCACATTGTTATGTGACTATCACCACCATCATCTTCAGAACTCTTAGCATCTACAGCCATGCCACCTGCCTGATTTCGTCTGATATTGGAAGCTAAGCAGGGTCAGGCCTGGTTAGTACTTGGATGAAAGACCACCTAGGAATACCAGGTTCTCTAGGCATTAAACAAACAAACAAACAACTCTTAGCATCGTCTCAAACTAACATTCTTATTTTCATTAAATAGTAACTGGCTATCCCCCTTCCTGGCTCCAGTCCCTGAAAACCACTGTACTTTCTGTCAATGTTGGAATTTGACTACTCTAGGTATCTCATATAAGTAAAATCATATAATATTTGTCCTTTTGTAACTGAATTATTTCACTTGGCATAATGTCTTCAAGGTTCATCCATGTTGTAGTATATATCAGAATTTCCTTCCTTTTTTATGGCTGAATGATATTCCATAGTATGTATATACCAAATTTTGCTTATCCATTTATCTGTCAATGAACACTGAGTTTCTTTTGCTTTGGGGCTATTGTGAATAATGTTGCATTGAATGTGGAAATGGAAATATCTCCCCAAGACCCTCCTTTCAGTCCTTTGGGGTACATACCTAGAAGTGAAATTGCTGTATCATATTATAATTCCATGTTCAATTTTTTGAGAAACCTCTAAACTATTTTCCATAGCAGCTGCACCATTTTATATTTCCGCAATAAAGCAGGGTTACAAAATTCCTCCATCTTGTTGCTAATACTTGTAATTTCTATTTTTTTAAATAGTAGCCATTCTAGTGAGTATGAAGTGGTAGCTCATTTGGTTTTGATTTTCATTTCCTTAATAATTAGTGATGTTAAACATCTTTTCATGTACTTAAAGACCATTTGTATACCTTGTTTGAAGAAATGTCTACTTACGTCCTTTGCTCATTTTTTAATCCGGTTGTCTATTTATTCATTGTTGAATTACAGAAGTTCTATATACTCTGGATAATAACTATCATATGTATAATTTAGAGATATTTTCCCCATTTTGTGGATTGTCTTTTTACTCTATTAATAGTGTCCTTTGATGTACAAAAGTGTTAAATATTAATGAAGTACTATTTATCTATTTTTCTTTTGCTTCTTGTGCTTTTAAAGTCATATGCAAAAAAATCACTGCCAAGAATATATCATGAAGTTTCACTCCTATATTTTCTTCTAAGGTTTTATCATTTTACCTCTCACATTTAGGTCTTTGATCCACTTTGAGTTAACGTTTTTGTATGGTATAAAGTTAGGACAAAACTTCATTCTTTTGCATGTAAATTTCCTGCTTTCCCAACACTGTTCATTGAAAAATCTGTCCTTTTCCCATTGAATGTTCTTGGCAACCTAGTTGAAAATAATTTGATTTACATAGGTGATGGTTTATTTCTGGGCTTCCTATTCTATTTCATTGGTCTGTGTGTCTGTCCTTACACCAATATGACACTATTTTAATTACTGAGCTTTGTAGTAATTTCGATATCAGGAAATATGAGACCTCCAACTTCATCTTTTTTTTAAAAAAAAAAAAGCATTTTGGTTCTTCAGGGTCTTTTGAGACTCCCTATACTTTTAGGATTAATTATCTTATTTATGGAAAAATTTTGTTAGGATTTTGATAGAGATTATATTTAATTTGTAGGTCATTTTGTATAGTATTTACATCTTAACATTATTAAGTCTTTCAATTCATAAACACAGGACGTCTCTCAATTTACTTGTCTACTTTCATTTCTTTCATGAGCTTTCTTTTATTAAGCCAAAAATGTAAGCGATTTGAAAAAATATAATTCTTCTAACCAATGTTTAATAAATAAATTTATTGTTAATAAAACTACATTATCATTAATAAGAAAATAGCTTATTATTATGTTAAAAATATTTTAAAATTTCTATTTTAATATCTAATAATGTAAATATTTATAGATATAATCTGTATAAAGAATCTCTTTCGAATCATGGGAAACATGGCAGGGTGAGAGACGTCCCTAGATCTCTCTCCTTGAAACAACAATAAGCTGAACATTTAAAACTCAACAAAAAACACCCAAATTGCACACCAGCATGTCTGAGCATTGGATTTGTGCATAAGAACTAACACAGGTCAAAACCCCGGGTGTCAGGTGGTGGATTGAGAGAAATAAAGAAGCTGCCTCTTGCAGCCCTGGGAGCTAATTGCAGGAGGAAAGGGAGGAGTGAAGGTATGGTGACTTCCCTAACTGCCCTAATGGAAGTGCTGTGACTTCTACCCAGCCAGCAGCAGGGCC